TACCCTAAATGATGATGCTGCTAATAGAAGAACCTGGGTTCTTCGAGGGACCGAGATTTGGGTTTCGATGGGTTTTTTGAGGAACCCAGATGATGAAGAGGAAGGGGAAGAGGATGGTGAAGATAAACGTTGAAATGATGATACCAAGGATGAGGCTGAGAATGAGGGTGAGGATAAGGATGAGGAGAAAGAAGAAGATGAAAAAAATAAAGTTAATTGTGTTTAAATTTATTTAATTCATTAATTAAAAAGTAAAATTGTTAATTTGTATAGGTGGCCCAAAATGCACGTGAATTTATAATTTTATTCATGTAATTTTTATATTATTTACAATATCATTAAAATAAAAATAATCAAGTTATTTTATTAGTTAATGTGATAGATTAGCACAAATTTAACGAAGAAATAAAAAATAAATAGATTTTAAACTTTAAAAAATAAAAAATAAATTTTTTCAGTATATGGATCAAAAAAAAGGTATTTAACCTTTGAAAAAAAATTAGACAATAATTTGTGCAAAGCATAACTCGAATTTGGGAGGGAAACGTTTTAGGGCTTCTACCTTAATCTTTAATAGGATTGAGGAGGGGTTGCTGTAATTGACCAAACTACAGTATGGGTGAGACCAACGACAAGGCAGGCAATAGCCTCCGGGATAGTTTTTTTTTTTTTTTTTGAACATATTTACAAGGGACGGGTTTCGAACCCAGCTCAAATAAGAGGGAATGCACCGGGGTGAATATTGCCACTAGGCCGTAAGTGCCAAGTGCAGCCTCCAGGATAGTAATGACAGGGTTTAAAATAATTTTGATAGGCAATACCCTCCTCCATCGCCTCATCTCAAATATAAAACTGTCAGGCCGTAAGACGCAGCTTCTTTAACGGTTTTTTTTTTTTTTTTTGGTTTTTGGCCGTCACAGCTTTTTTTATTATATATATTAATTAATTTAATAATATAACATAAATTATTACATTATTAATTTTAAAATTTTATTTAAAATTTTTATCTTTTTTATCATTATTTTTCATATATGTATATATA